ATTTTACAAACAAATTATTTATTCCTGTTGTGGCTGTGGCTTGGTGTGTGATGGCTCCGTGCTCCTCCCAGCATCACTTCCAGCCATTTGGTGATACAAAGCCACCACTCTGCCCTTTGGCTCCTGCTCAGCACAGCAATAACTGTCTTAGAAAATAAGTTCCTAACCCGAGAGCTAATTAATAAATTCCTACCCCCATGCTTGCTTTTGCAGTCACTTTTGGGAAGAATTATTTCAAGTTAGGTTGTTACACACAACTCTCCTTGAGCTGAAAGTTCAGTGTGTATCAAGTGCTTTTTAAATCCCCTGGAACTGGGTTTAGTGCTGGATTTTATGGCAGCTGCCAGTCCTCTAAGCTCATCACAAGGGGTGAAGCTGCTCAGAAGGTGCAGCACTGTTTTGCTGTTTCGTTGTACTGTCCTGTATAGAGATGTTCCCAGTTTCCTTGATTTTCATAACCACTATGGCCAGAGAGGAGGAAATTCTCAACTAAAATAGACTATAATGCATTTTTATGTGAACTGGGAAATTAAAGAAAGGCAGCTGCTTCCTTTTTGATCCCTTTTCTAAGTTTTTTGCTTGAGTGAAAGTAACCTAATGAAAAAATACTGTGTAGTTCTCTTTCTCATAACTCTCTGTCATGCAGCTTTAAAGAACAAGTCAAAAATTCAAAGTGATCCCTAAGCACAAAACTATTGACTGTTGGTTATCCCCAGTGACTGACTTGGCACTCTGAGCCCATTCAATGCCCCAGGAAATTGCAGGGGAAGGTTGGGGTGAGATGCATTTTCCTTTTGTGCAGAACGTGTATAGCTGGAGAGAAACTGCCCTCTCGTGGTCCAAAGAGAGATCCCACGGCCTGGAGTGGTTAACTGGGAGGAGAGAGTGGGAAAAAAGCCTTTATTTCTTCGATTAGAGCAGAGAGATGGGGTCAGAATGTGTTTAGTGAGGATCTAAATAATAGGAATACACCAGGTTGGACCTGTGTGATGGGTGTAGTGTAAGTGCTGCACCATTCCTGAAAATTGATTGGATTTCATACCCTTTTGCAGGACATGGAAAACAAAATCAGAAGTACACTGAATGAGATTTATTTTGGAAAAACAAAGGACATCGTTAATGGGCTGAGGTAAGGAAACTCCAACTGGGAGTGGGACCCTCTTCCCATCCCTGTGATGCCACCCCCAGCCTTGATTTGCTTTTGTTTCCCCTCCCTGAGCTTTGGAACATTATTTATTGCGTGAATTTCAGAGAACACTTCTACTGTAGAAATCTGAAGCAATGTTTTAATCCCTTGTTCCCCCACCAGGAGGAAAATAGCCCAGCTAACAACACTTGTATTTCAGGATTATTTTTAATTAGAGGGTTTATTCTTCACAGTCCTGGAAGTTGTACTTGAATTCTGACTTCTCTTTCTGCTATTCTTTAAAACAGTCCCAGAATTAAGTTATGATGTGAGTGGTTTGTGGTATTTAGACTTTGGTTTAAATTCTGTCTTTTTTCTCAACACCACTGGTCAAAATACAGTGTACTGGAAGAGATTAAAGGAATAAATCCCCTGTGCCTTTCTATAGGGAAACTGTGCTGTTCTTTTCAACCCCTGCCCATCCCTGGACAGGAATTTGACATACGAATCCCAGGCTGGTAGTTCTGCTCCTAGAGGGAAGCACAAAACAGATGCCAAATTATTTCGTTTTAAGTGCAGAGAGATTTTCCAGCACAGTGTGATAATATGGAATAAACAGCACAAATAAGTGTTCTGATGTTCTCTCACAGCCTGGCATGTGGAAGAAGATAGAAAAATGGTGCTAATTAAATGTTTGTGCTGCACCATGGGCAGGGGGAGTTGCAGTATCTGCAAGAGCAGCTGGTCTGAGTCCTGTCCCAAACCCCAGCCTTCATCACAGACCTGTTTCCCTGTGTGCTGTGTGGGGTTTAGGCAGGAAACATTTATTAACAGTCGAGGAAATATGTAATAGAGTAATTTTCCCTGTGAACGTTGCCTTCAGCTGCTGTATTGACTCCCTGCTGTCTCCCATCCCTCAGTGAGTCCTGGCACTGTGGGCAGCACTGGGATCTGCTCAGGACTGGTAACACACGGAGTGTTGGCTCCAGCTTTTCCCTGCTCCTCCTAACCTGTGTTTTTACACTCCTTCCCTGGCGGTTTCCAGAATCCCGGATCTGTGTGCCTGAGTTCTTCTGACTGTTCTTTTCCCTGTTTGCTCCCTGGTTTCCGACTGCTCTCTGTAGATCTATCGATGCTATTCCTGACAACCAAAAGTATAAGCAGTTGCAGAGGGAACTTTCTCAAGTGTTGACCCAGCGCCAGATCTACATCCAGCCTGATAACTAAACCAATCCAGGTACCCCTCGCTGCCTGTGAGGTGTGAGAGCAGCACTAAACCAGGACTCACCCAGCCCAGCCCTGCATGGTAACGGGACAGAACTAACCCCTAATCCCACAGACTGAGCAGCGTTGGAGCCGGGTTCCACCCACGGGTTGTTTCCTAATATGGGCAACTAAACACTGGGATTTCCATTTCAAATGTCAGGTCCCCCCATTTGAAGCCTCGCGCTCGGAATTGTGGCAGGATTTACCACTTTGCACTCTGGCTTGGGAGCAGGAAAGTAGCACGTGGTACCTGGAACGGTGTTGGATTGGGCTGATTTGATCCAGAAGCCTTGGGACTCTGTCCCAGTTTTTTACAGCTCTGTACACCACTTCCAGGATGGAACTCCCTGTAATCTTAATGTCCTCCCTGCAGAATGAAATCTTGGGAGTCTCACAGTTTGGAAAAAAAACCAACTGGTACTTCCCATGAGTTCAGAGCTCACATGCACATCCCACATCCCCTGTTTGCCTGGTGGATCTTGAATTTCCTTGGAGCTTGAAACCGCGTCCTGCTCAAGCTCACTCAAACATTCCCACCCTCCACTTGCTTGTGCTCTGCACGGCCTCCGAAGGGGTTTGTTCCTCTGCTCTCCTTTGCTCTGGAGCTCTGAGTGTCGAGGATGCACAGCAGTGACTAACCCTGGGCCACCTTAACCTCCCACTCCACCTCTAATGAATTACAGATGTTGTTTTAAACACATTAAGCTGACAAAGGGTAAAACTCACTATTTATTGATAATGGCCAAGAACCACTTCTTCAGCCTGTGACAAATGCAAATATCAAATATATATGTTTTTATTAAAGCAGCAGAAGTCTCCAGAGACAAGAGAATGGAAATACTGTTATAAAAATGGTAGGAAAATATCCACCATAAAGAGCAGTCTTGTTTACAGGAGACAGCATCCAGGGAAAATAAGTCTTTGAATCATATAATCCCAGACTGGTTTGGATTGGAAGGGCCCTTAAAGCTCATCCAGTTCCATCCACCTGCCATGGGCAGGGACACTTTCCACTATCCCAGGTACTGAGTACTGAAAAGGCTGTGAAATATGGTTTAGGTGAGGAAATATCTTACCAAACTGGATTCTTACCACTTCTCCATGGTAGCAACTCTGGAAAAGTCTGGTTTTATCATTCTTATCATAATCACATTTAAGAGGGTCTTTTTTAAAAGTGGAAAATTCTTGTTGCCCCATTGGAATCAGTGGTTCCCTTACAGCCATCTCACAGGGCACTGATCTGAGGGACTCCTGGAAGATGGAGCTTTTCCTCTGTACTTCTATCCAAAGGGAACCTCTGCAATAATCCTGTGACAGTATCTCTGTTCTTCTTCAGCTGCTTTGATCACTCATTACTTAGAGAAGGTACAAAAGAAGGCAAATTTGAGCCCAGAACCTCTGGCTGCTTTTCCCACCAGTACAAACACCGAGGAGAGTTTTGAGGCGGCCGCTCGACCCTGGGTGAACAGGCTGCAGGATTGGGCAGGAGCTCCTCCTGCCTTTCCCTTCTCCTTGGGTGGAGGCTGGATTTTCTCTGGACTTCTGGAGAGCAGGAGCACTAACCCCCTTTGCTGGTGGGATGCTGGGGTTCTTCTGTAACATAAAATGTTGGAATCTCCCTCCAGCAGCTGGAGCTGCCGGGGAAGCCTTTGGTGCATTCCTTGCTGGAGTGAGTTTTGCTTTAATGTCCTCACCCAGGTGTTCATTGCCTTCTGCTTCCTGTGGTCCAACAGGCAGAGCTAAGTGTTCCCTCTGGGCCTGGGCTGAGGTGCTTCTCCTCCCTCTTGCCTCCATGCCTGGACTGTCCCCAACCCCTCCCCTCCATCCAGCGCCTGACACGCCTTTCCTTCTTCCTCGCAGGTCTGTGCAGACTTTTGCAGACAAATCAAAACAAGAAGCTCTTAAAAACGACCTGGTGGAGGCTTTGAAGAGAAAGCAGCAAAGTTAAAATCCTCTCCGTGCTAACCAGACATGCCATGCACTCGTTAGATTCCTTTGGTAGAGAACTCATCCCCCCTGCCCTTTTCTGTTCCGTCACGTCACGATTTGCATCCAATACTCTCCATGCAACGCCATCTTCTCCCCATGAATAAAGCTGTACAAACTTTTTCAGTCTCTGAGGCCTACTTCGCACCACATTTTACTATCAAGACCTTAGGCTATGTTTCTGTAGAAGTCCATGTATTATTTTTTTCTCCCCCACCTGTCTCCCACCCTCCCCTGTTTATATGCATCACCACGGATCATTGTTTGTCTTTTCCTCCCTCACCCCCCTCCTGCCTTTTGTTACATTGGTGTAAAAAATGTAAAACAAAAATTTATTAAATACTGTGGTGTGTGAAAGAGGAAGAACTGGAAAAAAAAAAAAAAAAAGAAAAATAATCTATTCCCCGGATGTTTGGGGGCTGGGCACAAGGGCTGGCTGGTGGGAGGGAGGGAAGAGAGGGTGTTCCTTGGGATTGTACGATACTGACTCACCCAGATGTGCAGGAGATGGTGATTTGGAGACCTGCTGAAAATTTCTTCTTTCTTTTCTGGTTCCAAGGCGCTTTTCTGTCAATTTTTATGGAATGCAAAAGGGGCTTTTGTTTTGATTTTTTTGTTTTTGTTTTTGGTTTTTTTTTTTTGTAAAGCTTAAATTGAATCTACATCTGATACTTGAGCCTCCATACTAAAAAATGGGAAAAAAAAAAAAAGAAAAAAAAAGACTAAAACAATAAAAATAAATCCCAGGAAGAAGTGTCTGTGGTTGGTGTCCTTATTTCTCTTGGTTTCCTTGCAGGGTTATTTGTTTTTTGTCTCATATCCAGATGAGCTGAAATGTGTTTGTTTTGAGGAGGGTGTGATGTCCCACTGCTCTTCAAGGGCCTGCTGCCCTTCCAGGGTGCTGGGATTGAGGCTCCAGGGATCCAGCAATGTGGAACAGGTGTATTTAGAGGTGTGTTAAATACAGGCTGGGGGGTCAGTGTGTCCAGCAGGGTGGTGGCAGAGAAGCAGCATTCGATAGGTTGGGGTAGATGGTTCCACCCATCAGTGCTGACCCAAAAGCTCCTGTGCTTGTGTCATCTGTGAACCTCACCCAGAGTCTCCTCTTGAACCTCTTGGTGGGCAGAGGGACCTTGCACAGCTCTGGTTTCACTGCTCCAAACCTAATCCTGGGCAAACTGGGAAAGGAAATAAATACCTGCTGGGCTCTTCCTGTCCATGGCCATTGAAATTACCCTTTGGGTGAACCTCTGCAAATGGACACTGCTGGCATTAACATTGATTAATGTGCTCTGATTTTGGCTGACACGACCTGTTTCACCCCCAGACCCTGCAGGTGATCGGTGTTTACCTGGGGCTTGTGGTCCATAATGGAGCTCCTTGTGGGACACAGGCTGAGGAAGGCAACATCTGTCTGCCTCAAAGCTGGGATCCCCCAGGGAAACACATTGAGATTTGGTCATTTTCTCTTGGTTCTGTCCAAGGAAAAACCTTTTTTGAAGCTGGAGATGAGTTTGTGTGAATTCTTAAGCCCAGGAGGGGGAAGGCTGGTGTGTTGAGGTTTTCATTTACCTTCTCACTCTGGGATATTTGTTTCTACTCTGCCTTTCTGGTTTAATATGTGCCTCTGCAAAATCTTAACTTGCAGGAACAGGGCTGCAGTAGTGACTTGGAGGGATGAAAACCTCAGGGAAAGTCTCAGTGGCAGGAATTTGCACCCACTGCCTGAGATGGCAGCGGTTGTGGAACCTCCCTCTGCCAAACAGCTGCTCACCCTGCTCCATCCTCTGTAGCCCAAGTAAGAGTAAACCCACTTGTACTCAACTTGTGCTTTGGATCCACCTATGGGGACAAATTACATTTTATATGTATAATTTTTCCTCCCTATGTTGGAGGTTCTTTGTCCAGCTTTAAGAAAAGCCCTTGGTTAGCCAGGATGTGGCAATTTTAAATGGTGGAGATGAGGGATTTGCTCATAGTTTGGATTATAACTGGATAGGAATTGTTTTTCTACAACTCCTAGGGAACGATAGGAGAGGAAATCCTGCTGGCTCAAGGATGAGCTGAGCAGCCCCTTCACCTGAGAACCTGGAGGGGCAGAATCATGAATTGATTTGTTTCAAAGGGCTCAAAGAGACTGAAAAATACTTTTTCTTTCCGAAACGAATGGGTCAGCCCCAAATGCTGGCCCAGCTTGTGCTTTAATTGACCTGCTGGTGCAGGTCGATTGGGTACTGAGGACTTTGACTCCTGTTTCCAGGCTGAGCTGTGTAATCGAGGAGCTGTGGCTTGGGAGTCCTCAGTGTGAGGACAAACAAGCAAGGAGGGCAACTTCCTGGGAAAGACAAATGTTATGGGCCTGGCAGAGGAATCATAAATTAATGATAACAGAGTACAACACTGGGTACCAGAGGGGAAAAGGGAAGCAAAAGAAAGAGCTGATAGTGACTGCAGGAAAAGGACAGCTCTTGTTCTCACAAGGACAAGCTGTGTTAGTTTTTCCTGAAGGCCTTACAATCTTTGTTTGGTTTTCCTCTTGCTTTCCTGGTGAGACTGAGCTGTTCATCCCTAGCTCAGCACACGGGAGGGAACCTGGAGTGCTGGGCTGATCCATTGTGTGGCTCCACCTCTGTGCTCTTCTCCCAGGGACACAGCTTTTCCCAAACCACCTCTGCTTCCAGTCCCTCTGTGGTCAAGGAGCCACTGTACTGATGTGCAGGGCCCCAAGAGGGGCATAAAGTCATTAGTGTTGGGGATAAACTCATCAAGTTGAGGATAAATTCATCAATGAGAGAGGGCAGGACTGAAAAGCAGAGGAAGCAGAGAGGCAGCTCTTCTGCTGGGTAACAGAGAGAGCAACTTCCCCAAGGAATCCATGTAATTAAAACATGGGTGAGGCAAAAAAGTGAGAAGTCAGAGAACTGGGACTGTGAAAGTCATTAAGAAAGAGGCAGGAGCTGCCAGGTAAACTGGCAAAATGAAACCAAAGGAGCACGTGGAGAAGGACGTGGTTTATAGCCGTGCTAATTAAAATAGGTGTCCAAGGAACGAGCACTTTGGTTGTGCTGCTCCTTCTCCACTGGATCCAGGCACTGTGTGTCTTCCAGAAGCTCGGGGGGGAATTGTGAGGCCCACAGTGCTGCAGTGTCTGTGGCAGGTCCGTCATCCCTGTCCCCTCCCCACTCAGGCTCCTCCCATGTTTGCCAGCACCAAGGAAGCTCCAGATTTCCCTTGAGAGACACAGCAGTGACCAGGCTCAGCTGTGGGGCATCAGAGCAGCAAAGAGCAACTGAGGTATCAAATAATTCCCTTTTATCCCAATAGTATTGGTATCAAAGAGGCACAAGTTCAAACAGCACCATCCTCTGCCACTGTTGTAGCAGCACAAGTCACCCACTGGCTCAGGTCCTCTTCTCCCAAGAGCCACCAGGGGGGCTGGTTTGCCCCGTGTTTAAGCACTTTCTTCATCTGCATCCTCCTCCTCTCGCTCCAGGCAGGTCCCTTGGTCAGCTCTCCAGGCTGGCACCCTGCTCTCCAAGAAGAGCATCCCTCTCCTCGTGGGTACTGGCTCTTCCCTTCCGATAGGCAAGGAACTGGAAGGAGATCTGAGGAGAGGTTAAGGCTCTTCACGCACACAAGGGTGGATCTGTGTCATAAACTGGGTCTCACCACCTCCACAAAGGGTGTTTGTGCCAACAGAGGTGGACACAGGGCAATGCAAACAAAGGGCTGAATCATTTCAGCTGTTGCAACACCACAAATTACTCACCTGCACTTGGGTGAGCAATCCCTGAGTAGCGTCAATCTACCCTTCTCCTGCCTAACCCTGCCTGTTCCAGGGCAGGATCACTCCCTGCAAAGCCTTGCCAGTGGGGTGCGATTCCAGAGGGAAGTTTTGGCAGGGGAAGGATACAACCACATCGAGAGATAGGACCCCCAGGCTGCCCACCAGCCAGGGCAGGTGGTGCAGGACATAGTCACCTTCGCCTTGGCCTGGCTCAGGGTTCTTCAGGAGGACACTGAGGCCGTAGAGAGAGTTCCCCAACATCACCAGGGCAAAGAGGGAGTAGGAGATCCCAGTGGTGGATTTCCTCTTGTACTGGGAATAGCGGGCACAAGAAGAGCAGCTTGGGTGCAGCTCTCCTAAATAAAGTGGTATTAATCATCCTCTTCCCGAAAAAAGAGAAGAAAAAAGGTGGTGACTCAATGCCAAGAGCCCTTTACTTCCCCTTTTACTTGTAAATAAGACAAAATGAAAGCCACACCCTCGAAATATTGGTAGGTTAAAGGGAAGGGAGAAAAATAAATTGGGTTTTGGACCAGAAATACAGAAAAATAGTCCCTTATGAAATCATCAGAGACACGGTCCTGGGACTTCTGAGCAAAGAGGAGAAAGAAGATCCCAGGAACCCCCTTGGTCAGGGCCCAGAGGGTGCCCAGGGCCGGGCACTCACATTGGTGTAGATCTGGGGCAGTCGGGAGCACAGGTACAGCATGGAGGACACTGAGCCGATGGTGAATCCAATGATCTCACTCCTGGTGAAAGGCTGCAAGGAAAGGGGGAGCCAGGAGCAGCTCAGCATTCATACCACGGCCCCCAAACCCAGCCTCTGATCTCCCCAGCTCTCCCTCATCTGATAGGTCCTGTGTTAATTATAACTGATAATTATATTTCATTTTACTACAGGAAAATATGTAGTCTAGTTCAAGCTCTTATAATGGGAATTGGGTTTATTTTCATTGTTTGGAGAGGTCCTTCACTATTGCCAGTGCAAAACTCTTCTGCAAACCTCCTTTTACTGAAGCCAATTGAGTTACTTTGCTGCACTTGCTTGCTGGATGGCTTTTCAATTACGTATATATGTGCATAATTGGAAAAAAGAATAAAAGGGGGGAAGTCTCTCAAATTTCCTGAAAACAGTCACTCTTTATGGCTGTGGTTTAATGTGAATGAACGTGGTTTAAATATCACATTTTTTAGAGAATGTCCATCCTATGCAGCTCCCTGAAATAGTGTCTATTCACAAACAGAGATGTGGTAAATGTTACTGAATCTTGAGCAGGCCTTGAAATGTCTGAAATCCTGCAGCAGACTATCCCTGAATTTTGGAGCAATCTTTTAGGGCCTCTTTCCAGTGTCACCTTCCGAGACTGTAACACTCTGGAGAACAATTTGGTCCTGAAACGGGAACAGAAAAGCCCCCAAACCCCAAAATATGTGGTGGGGTACAAGGTATTTTTTGGGACTACTGGGTGGGATCACACCATCCAGCAGGACATGCCCACACAGATCTTCTGTATCCCATCACCCAGATTTAGGAATTGGCTCACCTTTGATCCAGGATCATCCATGTGAACTGACAGCAGAGACCTCCCTCGAAAGGTCCCTGGACCCTCTGCCGAGGTGCTGCTGCCCAGGAGGGAGAGCGTTGACACTGTTCCCATGGAGAGGAACACAAAGGCTGCATTGATTGGGGCAGTGACTGCAGGGAATCAAGGGGAGCCTGGTTAGGGAGAATCCCATCAACCCCCAACAGCCTCAGGGGTGCCAGGACCCTCTCAGGGTAAAGAGCCTCCAAGCTGTGCCTTATCTCTGCAGCACTGAGGGACAGGGACATGGCTGTGCGTGATTTATCTCCAGTGATGTGGCCAATTCGTGCATTATCAGGCAGGAAACTGCTCCTATCTCAGTTTCTTTGGGTTTAGGCTCTTAAAAATCATCCCCTCTAGAAGATTTCACTGTCTTAACTCATAACAGCCACACTCAAATCCCTGCCAGAGCAAGCCCTGCTTCAGCTTATTTATTATTATTAATTTTTTATTTTTCGGTAATCATATTCAGTAAACAGGCTCTCCAGCATAACAAAACTATGTAGTTGATAGGCTAAATATCAATTTAAACTTATTGATTTAAAAATCAATAAGTTTACGTGTCTTTAATAAGTTAAAGTCATCCTGGTCCCAAGGTGCCTGTTTGGAGTTCACAAAGCTGCAATGCTGAAAAATGGATTTGCTTTGTTTTCTCTGGCTGTTTGAACCTTTCAAGAACTGATAAGGTTCCCTTTTCACTCCAATCGAACAGGGAGGAACTTCCCCACCATGTCAGTGCTGGAGTTCTGACCCCAAGACAATCAGAAAACTTCCCTCTTTCCCTTGCAGCCCTGGCCTGCATCAGGAGTTCTGTGGTTTCCAGCTCCGAGGTGGAGTCATCACCTACCTGTGGGTAAAGAATTTATTTCTATGCCCAGTGCAACTCACAGGGGAGTTATTTTCAGCCTGGACACCATGGGGAGGTTTGCAGGGTCTGCAGAAGCCCCAGGCACAGCTTTGTTGGCTTTGGCTTTCCTGGGGGCTCAAATTATCCAAGTTAAAACTCCAGCAACCATCTAATAGCTGTATCTGCAAAGCATCTCTGCCCCTGGAATCTCCCTGGGGATTCCCTCCCCTCCACAGACAAGGACAAGCCCCCCCCCTCGTGCCCCAACTCACATCTCGCACCCCTGTTCTTCACCCTGTAGTAGCAGTAGAGCGAAAGCATCACCAGGTCAGCCAGCACATAGTAAACTGCCGTGTAAACCTGCAGGGAGGGGACACGGGGACACCTGCAGGGAGGGCCAGGGGGTGGCTGGGATGGGACAACAGCCCTGGGAGAGAGGGGAGCATCCCTGAGGGGAAAAAAGGGAACAATCCTAGGGGGTGAAGAAGGGAACATCCCTGGGAGAGAAGGGACCTCAGAGGGGGAGGAGGGAGCAACCCCATGGGAGAAGAAGGAAACAACCCTAGGCAGGGAGAAGGGAGCAATTCCAGAGGGAAGCAGGGAGCATCCTTGAGGGGAAAAGAGGGAGGCAACCTTGAGGAGAGAGAAGGGAGTAACCCCAGGGGGAAGAAGGGAGCAACCCCAGGGAGGAAACAGAAAACATCCCTGATGGGAGAAGGGAACAACCCCAGGAGGGGAGAAGGGAGCATCCTGGGTTGTTTGGGTCTCTGGTTCCCAGGACTGGATTAAGCAGCTCCCAGCCCATCCCTCCTCCCTGGAGTTCAGGGTGTCTGGGAGCCGGCCCAGCCCCAGGAGTTTGGTACCTGCAGGGGCAGCTGATCAGCCAGGAAGGAGCCGATGAGGTTTAGGAGGTCTCCTCCTAGCCATCCCAGCAGGAAATATATGGAGAGAGCCCGGTCCATGATGCCTGTTTTGCAGGCTTGGTAAAACTGCCTGCAGAGAATTGGGCAGAGACAAACATTGCCCCTGACTGGTTCAGCCCTACCTGGGAACCATCCCCAGGGCTCCCTGTGCCCCCCTGCAAACTGGTCCCAGTCAGAACTCCTGAGACCCACTAGTGCTTGTTGGGCTCAAGCCCTGTGTCTCATGCTGCGGCAGGAGGGAGTGAGGAGAAGTCTCAGTTGCAGGATCCTCCCCTCTGGTTACGAAATAATCGAGCTGGAGCGTGACTCCCCACATCCCCCTCTGCCACACTTGTCTCAGCACTTCCAAGAAGCTCAGTGTTCCTGGAAACATTCCAGGCACATGTATGACCTGCCCTGAGCACATTGCAGTTGGCTTACGTGGGATATTCCGGCTGCCAAGCTCAGCAACAACAATATAGCAGCCACCAAGGCTTTGGGGCTGTGCCGCCTACTCCTCTCCTCCTGCTCCTAAACTTTCCAAGCCCTGATTGCTTTTGATGGGTAGATTTAATAATTCAGGCACCTGGTGCTTGAAGGTTGACTTTTGCTGCCCATGGAAAAGGCTGGGCTGGGATTTGGGATGATACTCACGGGAAGGAGGCGGCTGCGAAGCAGAAGATGGAGACCAGCCCCAGGATAATGCTGGAGACGTCCCAGCTGTCCTGGGCACACTCATGGAACACGTTGAGGATCCAGCGGGAGCCGTTGGGACACTCGGAGAGATTCCCAAACGGGACACTCCTCCAGCGCCGTGCAGCCATGGCCCAGGAATGTCAGTGTCCAGCAGGGAACTGGGGGAATAAATTAATTATGCTGGAGAAAAATAGATCTGGATGAGGCACACAATTGGGGCTCCTCTGGATGCAGCTGGAAACCGGCTCGTGTTGGGAAAAAGAATCATTAGTGGATAATACACCTTTATTGGCCTTAATTTTGCATCAGGGATGAGAGGAGTGGGAAGGTTGTCGGCCTAGCAGGGTTTGGCCTCAAAGGAGAAAAAGAAGAAATAAAAGAAGAAGAAATAAAATGGAAAAAAAAAGGAAAAGAAAAAAAAAAAGAAAAAGAAAAGAAGAAAATAGAAGAAAATAAAAGAGAAAAAAGGAGAAAAAAAAAGAGAAAAAATTAAGAAAAAAGGAAGAAAAAGGAAAAGGAAAAGAAGAAAAAGGGGGGGGAAGAAAAGAAAGAAGAAAAAAGAGATAAAAAAGGGAGAAAAATAAGAAAAAAGAAACAAAAGAAAAAAAATGAAGGAAAAAAGGAGGGGAAAGAGGAGAAAGAAGAAGAGGGGAAAAAAAGAAGAAGGCAAAAAAGGAAATACAAGAGAAGCAGCCGAAGTCCAGCCCGACGTGTCCCCGCAGCACCGGCACTCACCTCCCACCGACGCCGTTCGCCACTTGACTTTATTTTTCCTCGGAAACTCGCTCTCTTTGGAAGCTGGGAGGTCTGTCTGTGCCCCCCCGCTCCCCCTCACGGACCCGCCGAGTTCTCTCGGCCGTTCCTGCCCGGCACCGGCGGCTCTGCCAGGAAGTTGCCGGAATCTTTTCCCCCAAGATCCGCAGCTTTTCCGTGAAATCCGCAACGTGGTTTTTTTTCCACAAACGTGCTGCTTTTCCACAGACGCGTTCGTTCCCGAGCCTGGTTTCTGACAAACCCCGTGGGCTTTTGCCCAAACTCGCTGTTTTTCGGCCACGCTCGGGGCGGGTCCGGGCCCCGCGCACGCGCAATGGCGGTGCGGGCGATGGCGGCCATGGCGGCGGGGGGAGCGCGGCCCGCGGTGGTGCTGGGCACGATGGAGATGGGCCGGCGGGCAGGGCCGGAGGCGAGCGCGGAGCTGCTCCGCGCCTTTCTGCGCCGCCGCTACCGCCTCCTTGACACTGCCTTCATGTACGCGGGCGGAGAGTCCGAGCGCATCCTGGGTGCGCTGCTGGCGGGAGGCACCGAGCCCGGTACGGCGCGGGGAATGGGGGTGCCCTGAGGGGAAGGGGCTTCCTCGGGGCTCTTTACCTGAAGTCAGCGGTCTTTCCTGAGGAGAAGGGTTTTCTCTGCCAGACTTACACCGTCTTTGAGGAGAAGGGACTTACCTCGAGACTCGTGCCCTGAGGAGGGAGGTCTTCCCTGTCAGGCTGACACTGTCCCTGAGGACGAAGGACTGCCCTGGGCCTCTTCCCTAAGGAGGAGCGTCTTCCTTGAGGCGAATGGACGCCCTAAGCAAAAGGAACTTGCCTCGGGACTTATTCCTCCTGCCAGGCTGACGCTGTCCTTGAGGAGGATTTCCCCTGGGCCAGTTCCCTGAGGAGAAGGGACTCCCTGAGGGAAGGGACTTCCCCGGGGCCCATTGCCTGAGGAGAAGGCAGGGCTGACTGCCAGGCTGACTCTGAGGACAAGGACCTTCCTCAGAGTCCATTCCTTGAGGAGAGGGGTTTTCTCTGCTAGGCTGATTCCCTCCTTGAGGAAAAGGGACTTGTCCCAGGCCCATTCCCTTAGGATAAGGGTTTTCCCTGCAAGGCTTATGCCAGGCCTGAGGGGAGGCCTTAGTGCTGACCTCCAGACCTTGAGAAGCCCTTCCCTCTCCAGGGCAGACCCCCAATCATCTGGGGAAGAGTTTCCCCTGCCAGGCTGACGTGGTTCCCAAGGAGAGGGACCTTCCCTGAAACACCTCAAACACTTGGTTATGCCCCTTATCCCTGTTTTCCTCCCGAAGGTTGAAATTCCTTGCTCATTCCTTCTTTCTCTGCCAGTGGAAGTGGCCACCAAGGCCAACCCCTGGGATGGGAAGACGCTGAAGCCGGAGAGTGTGCGCTCCCAGCTGGACACATCCCTGGAGAGGCTGAAGAGGACAAGCGTGGAGCTCTTCTACCTCCACGCTCCTGACCACGGGACTCCCGTGGAGGAGACACTGCGCGCCTGCAACGAGCTGCACAAAGAAGTAAAGTGGAGAGTCCAAGCCTGGACAATCCTTGATTCCCTCCTTCTCACCACTTTTTTTTAAACCAGGGCTGCGTGTTGTGCCCACTGCAGCGCAAGATTTGTACAACACTCAGAAGAGGAGACAGAGCCCAGGGCAGAGCAGAGCGGCTGCCGCTCTGTTGGGTGCTCACTTGGTGCACTTTGTTCCCAAAAGCTCTTGGAAGCCGTAGAACATCTGAACTTTGCTTCCAGCCATGTTAACTGACTGGATTAGGATTAGTGCTGGTAATGGGTGAAGAATTCCTGAATTGCATTAATCTAACTATCCCATTTAAATTTGAGAGTGTGAATTCCAGATGAGCAGAAAATGAGAAATATTTTTGTCAGGTCTTTATAGTCTCTTGGGAAAGGTGGAGAGGAGTGAGCACTCTGGAGTAAAATTTGGTGACTCCTTTTTACTGTATGCATCTTGCACTGTCTGGGTCCAAATGAACTTTTAAACACTGGAACTGAATTCTCTTTTATTCCTCTGCAGGGAAAGTTTAAAGAACTTGGTCTGTCAAACTATGCAGCATGGGAGGTGGCAGAAATCTGCACTATCTGCAAGTACAACAACTGGGTGATGCCAACTGTGTACCAGGTGAGGGGTGGTATTGCTGTGGGGAAATACCTGGGATTTGGGGTTCCCAGATCTCGGACCAACCTCTAGTGTGCCAGATATAAACAGAGAAGGAATCTGCTGCAGTTAGTCTGAGAAGTCAGAATCACTGAAGTTGGAAAAGACCCTCAAGGTCATCGAGTCCACCCTGTGCCTGATCTCCACCTTGTCCCCCAGCCTAGAGCACTGAGTGCCACAGCCAGTCCTTCCTTGGACACCTCCGGGGATGGGGACTCCACCACCTTCCTGAGCAGCCCCTTCCAGTGCCTGACCACCCTTTTCATGTCCTTTCCGGACACACATGATTGGGAAGCTGAGCGAGGTTGCTGCTCAGGAACACCTGAGTGTGTGTTCGTTGCTGCAGTCAGTGACTCCCCTATTGTGAAACTTAAATTTTTGCATTATTTGCAATCCTTCAGCAAGTCTGTTCCTAAGCAAATCATCACCTTGTGTGACCTGAAGGCTTTCTTCTGGTTAAGTCTTGTCAGGGAAGGGTGGGAAGAGGCTGGTGCTCTGCTCTGAGCTGGTGTTTGAAGCTGTCCCCCCCCCTTGGTGCAGGGTATGTACAACGCGACCACGCGCCAGGTGGAGGCTGAGCTCTTCCCCTGCCTGAGGCACTTTGGGCTGCGGTTCTACGCCTACAACCCCCTGGCAGGTACAGGGGGGGACAAGGCCAGACTTTGGGACAAAACCCTGGGAAATGGGGGCTGCCCATTTAGCCCAGCCCTAAACCTGCTGCTGCCCTTTGCAGGAGGGCTCCTGACCGGCAAGTACAAGTATGAGGACAAAGACACGCACCAGCCTGCTGGGAGATTTTTTGGGAACGACTGGGCTCAGGCCTACAGGGACAGGTATGTTTTGAGCTGACAGACAAGGAATGGCTGCATTAAAAACACACTAATCATCAGCTGAGAGGAAGCAGAATTGGCCAAAGCTTGTGCAGGGATTGCATCAGCACGCATGGCTGGGGCCATGGCATGTAACTGAGCTTTTGCAGGGTGGTTTTTATGCTCAGCTTCCCTACAACTTGCAGGGGAGATTGCAGAAGTCCTCCGAGGCTATAAGGAGTTGTACGAAGCTTCCTTTTGCTTAGAATATAGATGTACCGCTCACTAGAGGTCTCAAGGGCAATAAGAGTGATTTCTTTTCATGCAGGTACTGGAAAAAACACAATTTTGAGGGAATTGCCCTAGTGGAAAAGGCTCTGAAAGAGGCTTATGGCTCCAACCCACCCAGCCTGGCCTCAGCTGCACTGCGCTGGCTCTACAACCACTCCAAACTGCAGGTGAGAGCTCAACCTGGCCATAACCAACAGTCTGGGCAGTGCTGCCAGGGCTGTGCACACAGACAGTGTAACTACATTTCAGTGTAGTTATCCTTTAATCTGCACATCCCATGGAGTTGCAGTGTTCCAAAGTGAATGTCGCTGTGTGGACTCTGCCGGACTGCTCGAGCAAGTCAGCTCTGTGTCCCCCGTGGTATCCTCTGTGCTTAGGATTGGAAGAAGTGGAAGATTTTAAGTCCTAATTAGTGGGGTCTTGGCTTCCCGCCCACTCAGCTTCCGTGCAAGGAGAGCACTTGCTCTTCCTTGGACTAGGAAACTAATGGTTATATTCCCCATCTCCCCCACATGTTCCTGTAGCCCATCATTAAGTAGGATTTGGTAGCTTTTGAGGAGTTGGCATGACTTGGAGATGTCCTGGCTTTCTGACCAGAACTTTGTAGTGTCAGTTGTCTAAATCCTTGAGGGGTGAACCAGGTTTCTTTTGGGATCAGCAGCACCTCATATCTCTTCCCAGGGTTCTCTTGGAGATGCAGTGATCATCGGGATGTCCAACATGGAGCAGCTAGAGCAGAACCTTAACTACAGCGAGGAGGGTCCCCTGCTCCCAGCCGTGGTGGAGGCGTTTGATGCAGCCTGGAACATGAATGCCCACGACTGCCCCAACTACTTCCGTTAGGGATTGGAGCAGGGACAGAACGCTGGCAGCGTGGGGGTGGAGAACAGAGCACAGGGCTCTGGAAGCACTGGAGAGGTACTGCCCACCCTGCCCTTTGAGCCATGAGCAAATTGGTTGAGATTTCTCCTGAATTAATGAAGCTTTGTAGGATCCACAACTGCTGTTGTGCTGGGCTGTGCCTTGGTCATTCCTCCCTCCCAGCCCTCCAGGTCCCCAGAGCACTGTAATTAAAGCTGCAGTAATCAGGAAAGTGAACACATTAATGGGGTGAAAGCCCCAGTTCTGCTTTAATGTGAAATCTTAAATAATTACGTACAAGAATAAAACCTCTTTCTAACACAGCTCCCATCTCTGACCTGTACCTGTAACCTGGCTGGCAGCACTTGGGGACTTGGGATCATAGAATCCCAGACTGGTTTGGGTTGGAAGGGACCTTAAAGCTCATCTCATCACAGTCCCTGCCATGAGCAGGGACACCTCCCACTAGCCCAGGTTGCTCAGAGCTCCATCCAGCCTGGTCTTGTACTCTTTCAGGGATAGGGCAAAATTCCAGGGATGAGCTAAATTATCTTCTTCTATGTCAGAATAACAAACTCTTGGCATTTTCCCCACTGTACTACATCAAAGTTGCATTAACTTTACACCCTTTCTGCCCGGTTTTCACATTTGAGGTGGAATTTTCTCAGATCCTGGGATACATAAACAGGAACAGGCAGCAGCAACAACCATCTGAAGTTTTGTATACAGATTTATATATATATAAAAAAAGCATAGTTAGATCATTTTTTACAAAGAGCACATTTGAGCTGATCATCCTTGTTCAGCTGCAGACAGGTCAGGGAAACATCCTCCTTTTTGTCTCTAAAATAGAGTAGAACTGCTTGGTGTCCACACTGCTAGTCCTCATTGCTGTCATCATCATTATCCTCCTCTTCCTCTGCTGTGTCTCCAACAAGCTTCTGGAAGTCTCCTGTCTCAGAATTCCACACGAATTTGATGGTGACTTTAAACTCTGCAATCTCATAACCGAAGAGTTTCTAGGAGAGGACACAAATGTGTTCCTGCTTTACCATCTCTGTGTCCAGCTTAGCAAAACAGTCCAGACCACTTCCAGGTGGGAAGTGCTGCAGAGCAGGAGCCAAAATAATTGCTGCTGAGTTTCAGGAGTTCCATTAATTAATTATTTTGTATCAGGAAGCGGGGCTGTTGTGTTACTCACCAGGACACGGGCCTGTTCCGGGGTGAGAACATCCCCTTCCTTGCAGACTTCGTAATCTGAGAGCAGTGTCACCACCCCTGCAGGAACAAAACCCCTTCAACAGGCTCCCAGGTACTGGGTAACCCCCTGAAATGTGGGGTGAAGAGCCAGGACTCCCTCCAACACCACCCTTTGGAGCTTTCCACGCAATGTTAGTGCACCTCAAGGAGCTGGGTCAGCTCCAAAAAAACCCCCGTCTGGTTTCTGAATGGGTCAATCCCAGCTGTTCCCACTGGAAAAGGACAGTGTTTTGGAGAAAGCTTGTTCTTCGACTCATCCTTTGACATGAGTTTGGGAAGAACAGCACAGGAAGGACATAAGGAGTTCTAGCCTCATCCCAACGGGGAGAACATCCGTGGGATTTTTGCAGATCTAAATTCCATTTAACGTTCTGCTTCTGATATCTTCCCTGCTCAGACAGACACGAGGCTGCCCTTCCCAGCTGCCCCAGTACCTTTCTTCAGCGCCGTGGGCAATCCCAGCTGCCGGAGCTGCGGCTCCATGGAGTGTGGGAACTGCTCCAAGGGCCCTGTGTCCAGGCTCACCCCGTAGGGTGCCTTGTTCCCAGCGCGGGCAAAGTCCACCTCTCGGAACTTGGAGAACCACCTGGGACAGGCAACAAGAGCTTCAGCCTCCTCTGGCTACAGCCTGCCCTAAGTTCCTGTGTTGCCCAGAGAAGCTGTGACTGCCCCTTCCCTGGAAGTGTCCAAGGCCAGGGCTTGGAGCAGCCTGGGCTAGTGGAAAGTGTCCCTGCTCATGGATAGGGTTGGGACTGGATGAGATTTAAGGTCCCTTTCAACCCAAACCATTCCACAATTCCTTGCTGTCAGAGGGATGGCTGAGAAAAATGAGTGGAAAACCCCATGAGACCATCCCTGCTTTAAGGGAGCATCAGGGAGTGCAGTGGTTACAAGGGAACAGGGCTGTACCAGACAGTACTTACTCATCCACCTCATCCCTGGTGCGGTTGGTGAAGAGGAGCCCAACCTCCCCTCTCAGGTGTTTGCTGACCTGGAACAGAAGGAGCATCCATAGGGATCAAGCAGCACCAGGGACCCACCTGCAGTCCTGTACAGCTGCAAAAACTCTGGTAACAACAAACCCTTTGTGTCAGGACACAGATGGATTCAATTAAAACATGCCCAAAACGGTGACCCGAGGAGCTCTGGTGTCCTGGGATTGTTATTCCATGGTGTGAGGTAAGGCAGGTGAAGCTTTAGGACACCCAAGAAACTCCCAGTGCCCACCTTGTGCAGGTTCTCCTTGTACTCAGTGCTCGGCGCCCGCCCCAGCGCCACCATCATCACCTTGTTCTTGCCGAAGAAGATCCTGGAGCAAGAGGAGGGGGATGTCAGCCCCGGGAGCTCACACCCCTTGGGAATTACCCCCTTTCCAGCCCCTCCGGCCCCCCAACCTGCTGTGCTTCCAGGCGTTCCGGACATCCTTGAGCTTGTTGTTTCTCATGTTGGCCACGGAGAACACGAAGATGTACTTGTAGGTGTCCACACAGCGGCGGAGCTGCGGGGGATACGTTACGGAGACAGGGACTGGGACGGAGGAAAGGGGAGAAGGGGACAGGGGCAGGGCCCCACTCACCTCGGTGATCAGCGCCTGTTTGGCCTGCAGCCCCTTCCGGGGCGTCCGCGTCAGGGAGACTGCGGAGAGCAAAGGAGTGCGTTAGGGTGGGATGGGGAAAGGAGTGGGCACGAGGATGGGCACTGACACAGGCATGGGAAGGGAATGAGGATCGGGAAGGGAATGGAGAAGGGGCTGAAGGCCGACCCCGCTCTCACCCTTTCGGTCCCGCCGGGACCTGGGCATGGTTCCGCCGTGCTCCGAGGCCCCCGGGCGGCGCGCGGGCTGCCGGGAGCGGCCAGGGCTGCCTCGCGCGCTGCCTGCGCGCTCCCCACGGCGCCGCCACCCTTTCCCCGCGCAGGCGGCGGCGCGGGCGGCCCCGCAGCGCTCCGAGGCCCCTCGGGCGCCGGGGCCGCTGTGATGGCGCCGGGGCCGGGGCCGCGGCCGCTGGCGGGGCTGCCCTTCTTGGGGCTGCTCCTGCCGCTCCTCCTGCCTTTGGCCGCCGCCGTCTACGAGGACCAAGTGGGCAAGTTCGACTGGTGAGCGCCGGGGGTCCCGCCGCGCCGCGTCCCCCTTCCCGCGGGCAGGCCTCGCGCCCCTCCTGGCCCGAGTCCCGTCTCAGTGCCGCTCCCTTCCTTCCCTAGGAGGCAGCAGTACGTGGGGAAGCTCAAATTCGCCTCCTTGGAGGCTTCGCAGGGCTCGAAGAAGCTCGTCGTGGCCACCGAGGAGAACGTGGTGGCCGCCCTGAACTCCCGGAGCGGCGAAATCCGTGAGTGCGGCCGATTCGGGGCTGACGGGTCGATCAAATCGTGCTGGGTTTTACTCCTGAAAGGTGAACGCTGCCGACTGTGCCTTGTCAGGCAGGGAAGGGGCAGCCGGCGGGGCAGAGCTGTGGCTTAGGGCAGGCAGACTGTGCTCTGTATGAGTTTAAAAATAATAGGAAGAAATGCCTTTGGGGGGCTAATCTTGTTCTCGCTGGGCTGTGTCTCCCCAGTGTGGCGCCACGTGGACAAAGGAACCGCGGAAGGGACGATCGATGCGATGCTGATCCATGGGCAGGGTAAGGGGCACGTGCCGGGGCTGGGATTGCTCCGGGACTGTGGGAGCTCAGCCGCATGTGAGAGCACAGGCTGGAGCTCCACAGCTCGTGGCTTTGTTGCTCCGTGTTTCCCCGGGTAGATGCCGTCACTGTGTCCAACGGAGGGCGAATCCTGCGCTCCTGGGAGACCAACATCGGGGGGCTGAACTGGGAGACGTCCCTGGACACTGGCAGGTGGGATTTCCTGGCCGCACTGGCTTCTCTCCTTGTATTGCTGGGCTGGGAAGGAAGGAAGGGGTTATGGACCTTCCCTGGACTTGCATTGTAGAGGAAGATTAGTTAGAGGTAAAGTTTCAAGAATAAGTTTTGGGTGAATTCTCTATGAATGCCTGACCTTGCACCAGGATCACTGAGGTTGAAAAAGCCCTCCCAGCACATGGATCCCTCCTGTGCCCGATGCCCACCTTGTCCCCCGCCCAGAGCACTCAGTGCCACGGCCAGGCCTTCCTTGGACACCTCCGGGGGGGGGGACTCCACCACCTCCCTGGGCAGCCCTTTCCAAGGTCTGACCACCATGGAGAAATTCCTCCTGCTGTCTGACCTGACCCTCCCCTGGCACAGCTTGTTCCCTGGGAGCAGAGCCCGACCCCCCCCAGCTCCCTCCTTCTGTCAGGGAGTTGCAGAGCCAGAAGATCCCCCCGAGCCTCCTTTTCTCCAGGCTGAGCCCCCCCCAGCTCCCTCAGCCGCTTCTGCTGCTCCAGACCCTCCTAGAGAGTAAAATAGGAATTCCCTAATTTCTTGTCGGTTGGCTGTGCTCAGTTTCCAGGCAGCTGCTCTGGTGGGGCTCCAGGATACAGTCAAGTACGTGGCAGTGCTGAAGAAGGCAGCCCTGTCTCTGCACTACCTGTCCAACGGGCACCAGAAGTGGGTTGAACACTTGCCAGAAAGGTGAGAACACGTTTGAAGGAGTGGTGGGAGCTCCTGGCAGAGGGAAGGGTGCTGCTTCTGCCTTGTGCTTCTGAAAACCTCTGAAAAGAGCAATGTGAGAAGGTGATGCTTCATGGTTGCTGCCTCTCTTACAGTGAGAGCTCTCAGTACCAGTTGCTGTATTCCCACGGGACTGGAGTGATCCACGTGCTTGGAATCGTTTCCCAGAGCCACCTGAACATCTTGACATTCAGTGCAGAGGATGGAGAAATTACAAAACAGGTAGTGCTCAACTGTGGAGCCAAATACTGGGTTTGGTGTTAACAAATGTGCTTCCAACCCACGGGCTGTGCTGTGGTAGGTAGAGGATTCGATGGTTGTGGTGCAGAGAAACTTTCCTTCCACTGAGGCACTGCCTGCAGGCCAGAACATGGATTTCATGGCTGAATGTCCTGAAAGCCAAACCAAATTAGAGTGGCACCTATTAGTCAAGGTTATCTCATAAACCTCAGGCTGACAGATAGTGTCTCCCAGTCCTGGGAAAAAATAATTCTGACTTGAATTCTTGGCTGTGTCCATATTGGTGCCTTGAAGATTTGACTGTGCTGACACCTTGATGTCTGTGGTTGTGCAGGTGAGAGTGGCAGCCCCATGGCTGCAGAGCCTGGAGCACACCTGTGGTGTGGTGGGGGAGGCTGTGCTGGTGTGTGTGGACACGGACACGCACTCGCTCCACGTCTGCTCTCTGGAGACAGAGCAGGAGATGAAACAGATTCCCCTGCAGGTGAGAATTGTATGTTATTCTTTGCCCAGCTGGTTTGGTGCCTCACCCAGCCTGTGAGTGAACTGTGGAATGACTTAAGAGGTTTGGCGGGTCATGATTCATAAATTGAGGGAAGGGTGAGAAAGCTTATGTTTGTCTAATCATTCGTTCTGGATTGATGTCTTCAAAGCTTTGCTCCAATGGGAGCCTCAGCCTCCCTGCTCCTGCTTTGTTAATCCTGATCCAGGGAATCTCTCCATGCGGCTGCATTGCTGCTGAGAGGAGGAAGGTGTTGGTCTCAGTAACATGTGTGCTTGTCCCTTGCAGTCCCTGGAGCTGGAGTTTACAGATGACTTCCAGGCCAGGATCTTGGCCACTCAACCCAGTGTCACCAGTGCTTCCCGGACCCAGTTCTTCCTGCAGCTCTCTCCCAGCCACTTCTCCCTGCTGCAGTACAAGCACGGGCTGCTCAGCCACCTCCGGGACTTCCAGCAGGTACCTGGCACAAATGTACCCAGCCAGAGGGCCAACTGCAGCTTGAAATCCTTCAGAACTCTTAGGCCAGCTGGCAGGTTTTGAAAATCTCAGTAACTCTGGGCATAATATTTCAAAAACCTGTGGCAGATCAACTGTTCCCATGTTTATGAGAAATAGTCTTACTTTTTTTTTTTGAGGGAAACAATATAAAATTCAAAATGTGGCTGTGAAAGATTATTTGTTTTTAATTCCACTTTGGTTTTATTTACTTCACAAGCAGTTTTTGGTGGGCTTTGGGGTTTTCTTGGGGTTTTGTTTTTAGTGATTTCCTGCTATTTTTTTCTTTCCAGGCAGCTCTGGTGAGTTTTGCAACCACCGGGGAGAAGACAGTGGCTGCTGTCCTGACATGCAGGAGTGAACTGGTAAACACAGTTCCTGTTCTCTGGAACCAGCACAGCTCTAGGGACGTCCTCTGGGAGTGCGTTCCAAGAGTGTTTCGCAGGCTCAGGGATGGGGAGTCCCTTGGGGAAGAGGAGGGTTTGATGAGCTTCAGTGGTAATGCAGTTAAGGCTTGATTGTGTCCAGCTCAAGCTAGGTCTGGCTCAGTGGAACGTGGTGTCCTGTTTCAGCATTATGTAAGGTGAGCATGTGACCTTGGAATTCTCTCTGTAGAGAATTTCAGTTCTTGGGGATATCAAACGTAGGTTAATAAAAGATAGTATATAATAGAGCAGAACTGTTTCCTGCCTGATTTCACAGTCAAACTGAGACTTGTCAGACACTCAAAAACCTAATTTTTTATAGTCTTACTGGTGTCTGCAGCCATGTTACATCTCTTCTCATTCTCATTTCAGAAACCTGGAAGTGCTGATGGCCTTTATGTTGGAAGTACTCTGGAGGAAGCCCGGAGGCAGGTATGAGGTGCTCTTGTACCCAGGAGCAGTGGGAGTTCTTGTTAGTCCCTTTTTTTCCTTTGTGTGCAGGAACAGAATGACAAAGGTGTTACACCAGCTTTTTGGAAGCTGCTGTTTTGCAGCAGTTCCTATATAGAACCTAAAAATGTTTTGAAGCCACAGTCCTTGCTGAATGTGGAATCCTGGTGCAGATTTTGGTGTGGTATCTGTGCAACTTCTGATTTCTGCCTGCTGTTCCAGGATTCCTTAACATGCTCCAACCAAACCTACAATGTAAATCTCTACCTGGTTGAAACTGGACAAAGGCTGTTGGATACCACGATTACCTTTAGCCTGGAGCAAGGAGGTGCCAAACCACAGCAGGTGAGGAGGGAGGGGTTATTTCAGTCCTATGGTTGCTCAGACCTGCAGTGCCCTCCCTTCCCTGATTTGGCAGGATGGGGAGAACCCTTCAGGCAATGGGAAAGAGCATTTTGGGGTTTACACTGTCCCACTGTTGCTCTTGTTTCAGCTGAGTTCTCTTTTCTCTTAGGTGATGTGATCATAAACCTGTTTTCCTTGTTCTTCTTTTCCCAGCTATACATCCAAGTTTTCCTGAAGAAGGATGACTCCGTGGGCTATCGAGCCTTGGTGCAAACAGAAGACCACATGCTTATTTTCCTCCAGCAGCCAGGTAATTGCACAAACAGCTTCCTCCACTTGTAACAGTGGCCAGAAGAAAATTCCAAGTCCTAAAGGGTTCTGTTTTATCATTACTTTCCTTGGACACCTGCAAAATTAATATAACTTTTCTGAGTCCCATAGAAGACACAGGAGACTCTTTCACCTGAGCGAAGAGTTCTGCCGTGTTCTTTGTGTAGGCAGAGCCTTTGAGTTTCAGGGGCTTTCTGCAGATTCCCCACCCACGGCGTGGGGTGGCCCAGTTCTAGTTCCATTTCCATCTGAAGAACCATTCTGACGCCTTGAAGGAAGGGGAAAGGGAACTCCAGGGGTTTCTTCAGGGGTCTCTTCTGACCCTGAGCCTGGAGGGGAGAGGTGCTCCCCCCTCCCCCCCCGCACGTGGCCCCATGGCCGGCACGGAGACAGGACACCGGGCGTGGAGAGGAGGCAAGAGAGAGTTTATTGTTGGGGATGTTACATTTATAGGGTTTAGGAGGATTCACAG